CTTGGAGTCACCTGCTCCCAACGACAGTCAGCAACGGAGCCGCCTGCTTCCGATGATAGACAGCTGCCGGAGCCACCTGCTCCCGTCGACAGCCAGCTCCCGCAGATGTGCGATGTTCTCTTCAATATAAGTCTCAGTTAAGTTACGCGCGCCGCAGGTGGCGTATTTCACAACACGACAGGTCGTTCGGTGGCGGGAACCGGGTTACGTGGGAGGTTGTTCCATTATCGGCATCGTAAGCCCATGCGATTTTGCGCTTTCAAAAGTGTTCTTGCTTTGGGCGACCATCTCAGGAGTGTCACGACTTTCATATATGTCGCCATCGCCGCTGCTGTGCCTGTTATGTTCAAACGCTTTTGTGACTGTTAGTTACTCCCTAACGTAAAGACTAAAAATGTTTGTCGTGAGGGCTCTAGGCTATTTTGGACTGGGATGGCCCACTGAGCTCTTGCTATGTTTTGTTGACCTTGGTTGTATATATATATATTATATATATAATATATATATATATATATGTTTGTGTGTGTGTGTGTCTGTGTTTGATATATGTATATATATATATATATATATTATATATATATATTATATATATATATCCTATATATATGCATGTAGTCGTAATGCACTTAAGTCCCATATCTTATGTCCTACAGCATATCGTCAACGGATGAATTTATTGATATTTGTGGGCAATCCAGTCAGGTACTAGGCGTCGTCAGATGCCTCTTTTTAGGTGTTGAAAACCTAGTTAAAAACGTAGACAAGACAGTTAGTAATAAGCCTTATTCCTCGCGGAGAAAAACCAGGAGAATAGACTGGATGATATTTTCGGCAATATGCCTTTTATTGAAACAATAGCAGAAGTGAATTAACAATTGCCAGCGATGATCCTCCTCGATTTTTCAGGGTTTTTCCTGAACAGCAGTTTTTACAGGACTCAACAGCCCGGGAATAAACAAGAGCGTTTGCCAGCCATTACCATGATGCAGTGCATATCTAAGAATTAGAATGCGCGAAAATGCGTTTGTACATACAAACAATCCAAGCAAACAGGCTGTCACGCATCACGCTTCATTCAAGCATGCAAGCGAGTTGAAATAAACAGGCATCACAATTATGCATGCAAGCGATTTCAATTAAACAGGCATCGCACATCACGCGTCAGACATCACTTACACATGTAAACGATTTTAAGCTAGCACATGTCACACATAAAGGCACATGTGACGTTCGCATAATCTGTCATGATGAGTCCTGAATTTTAAGATTTGGACGCCACTTTTTATAAGAATAGATTTACTTATTTTCCTGTCTGGGTGGTCCGGTACTCTATAGATGACTTTGACCTCTACGAGAGGCATAGGGTCTATACCCTCTCTCGATTTCAACCTGAACGTGTTTTTCCAAAAAATGGTCACCGAAAGGACATTTCCTGTTTTGTTTTTAGCTTCTCGTATGTGTTCATTATATCTCAAAGGAATAGGGTTTGTGGACTCCCCCAACATAGAATATGTCCCTCACATGGTTTCCACACGGTTTACACTTGATTTCGTAAACCACGTTTTTGCGTGCAAACCCCCTGAAACCCAGACTTGTATAAATGACATCTATTACCATTTGGCTGCATATTAGCCGGCAACCGCTGTCTGTTTAATCTCCGGAATGTTGGTGTCTTGTAAAAACTGTCTTGCTGTTTCAAAAAGCCTGAAAAATCGACTTGGATCATCGGCAGGCATTTTGAATTCACTTCTACTATTGTTTCGACAATGCCATGTTGCCGAAATATCAACCAATCTATTGCTCCACTCTCCTGGTTTTGCTCCGAGGAATAAGGCTATTACTACTGTCTTGTTAACGTGAATAATGTTCCTCGCGAATGCAATGAACAACTTGCGTATTTCGAAACGCATGCATTGAAAGAGCCATAGTCTTCATCTTCGACCGCGTAAGCAGTTATTCTGACATTACTTCCCTCAAAATTTCGTAGTGCTTTCTTGAACAATTTCTTAAAGCCTGTGCTCTTGAAGTTCCTTTAGTGGGCCAGAAGAGCGAATGTATTGTCAGTTTGACAGCGTTTCGATGTGCTATCCTGCTATATATTTTTCCGCCAATTTCTTTGAAAAACGTATAGAAGCCGACGTGCCACAAAATGAAGACAAAAGGACCTGACATCCACAGTTGTATGAAGATGATATC